TTGAGCAGACAGCTCACAAGCAGCTCTTGTGCTGCCGGCAAGTAGCTCGTGGGCTGCTGATAGGTACGCGCCCCCTTAAAGCACCTCTAAATCCCGTTTTGCAAAGACTTTAGAGCCCCTACGATCGTGGGAGCAGCGGGCCGTAGGCCTGCAGATCGTCAGTGCCCAAAAGTAACGAATTCTGACCTATGTCTGGAAACAAGGCCTGTAGCTATCACAGAGTGGGAGCTGACAACGCCCTCCCCAGAGAGAGAAACGTGGCGAAACAAGCCTGAAGAACGCGGCTTCTTAGAAATCTCGAAACGTCGAAGAAGCCGATTTTGGCTGCAAATCGCGGCGAGACAAGCCTGAGGAATGCGGTTGGGCTTTCTGGAAATGTCGAAGAAACCATTTTGGGCTGCATTTCGCGGCGAAACAAGCTTGAAGAACGCGGTTGAGCTTTCTGGAAACCTCGGAACGTCGAAGAGGCTTTTCTGCTGCATTACGCGGCGAAATAAGCCTGAGGAACGTGGTTCGGCTTTCTGGGAATCACGGAACGTCGAAGAGGCCGAAACAAGCCTGAAGATCGTGGTATGGAAGACATGGAAGTTTTGAAGGTGCTTCGAAACCATGAGATGACCATTCCAAGATGTACATCGTTGTTTGCCAAGATGAGAAACTTCCGAAATCTGAGTTTCTCACCCAGACTTGAAGAGGCAGGAAAAGTAGTTGTAGACGACGTCTAACTTTCTGTTGACAGAAAAAACGCAGCGAGATCCGCCTTGCCGTGCTTGGCCGGCGGCAAGTAGCGAAGACAAGCTTTGCAGCCATGGAGATGCGCGCGCCATGCAGTTGAGCGTCGACTACGTGCGGTTCGCGCGTGAAAGAAAGTATGCATGTTTTCAAGCGTGCTCCTCAGTTCCAAGTAGGCGCTGACAACACGTTGATCCATCTGGTGCACCTTTGACGGCAACACAAAACATTTTTTGAAAACGTTTTGTGGTCTGCTCAAAGCTGACGGCAGCGAAACACCCACTTGCCAAGCTGTCAACCTCAGGCTTGCAGCACTGTTTCGAGACAACAATCGTTTGCAGCATTGTTGAGCAGCAAGTTAAGCGGATTCCACTCCATCACATCGGAGTGCGTTGGATAGCATCCAAAGGATAGTTGCAACAAAGGGTTTCAGCTCCAGCGCGATGACGAGTATGACTTCATTTTAAGCGGAGCCTCGGCTGCACAGATAAGTACTTTAAGCACGAAGTTCACCAAAGAAGGGTTGCATTCCGGCAGCAACCGAAGTGGGAGGATGCATATTTCGTATCTGCTATGGCAGGCTTAGAACAGTTACGTCTTGAGCTCTTGTTCAGACACACCGAGTTAAAAGCTGCGTGATTCAGTTCTTGGCATCAGGAATTGGGGGGGGCGAGATCGACGTGTGATCTGTGGCAGGCAGGTAGTTGCATTATTCAGAGACTGCAAGAGAGCGTTTCAGGGCTGGAGTTGCGCGGGTTCGTTGGATGCAGCAATAGTAGACGAAGAAGAAGCTGTAGTAGTAGCAGTAGTAAGGAGGAGAAGGAAAAGTAGGAGGAGGAGGCGGAGGAGGAGGAGCAGTAGTAGCAGCAGCAGCAGCAGCAAGTAGCAGTAGTAGTGGTGGTAGTAGTACTAGTCGTAGGGAAGTAGTAGGAGTAGTAGTAGTAGTAGTAGTAGCAGTAGCAGTAGTAGTAGTAGTTGTAGTTGTAGTTGTAGTGGTAGTGGTAGTGGTAGTGGTAGTAGTAGTAGTAGTAGTAGTAGTAGTAGTTGTAGTTGTAGTTGTAGTTGTAGTTGTAGTTGTAGTGGAAGTAGTATTGGTAGTAGTAGTAGTAGCAGCAGCAGCAGCAGGAGTAGTAGTAGTAGTAGTAGTAGTAGTAGTAGTAGTAGTACTAGTATCAGTAGTGGTAGGGTAGGAGTGGTAGTAGCAGTAGCAGTACCAGTAGCAGTAGCAGTAGCAGAAGCGGGAGCGGCAGGAGCAGCAGGAACAGCAGCAGTGGCAGCAACAGCAGCAGCTGTTGCTGTTGCTGTTGCTGCTGCTGCTGCTGCTGCTGTTGTTGTTGTTGTTGTTGTCGTTGTTTGGTGCAACTTGCCTCAACGGTAGGATGGCAGAGCTTCGTAGTTTGACCGAGGCGACGGATGTTCTCCCTCAACATCCTGAAGCCTCACGCCCTAAACCCGAAAATGACGTTCAGAATCCTGAAACCGTACCGAGCTCTCATGCAGTATGCATCGCTTGCTTGTGGCCCAAGGGTGAAGCAGAGCGGAGGTTGAGAGACAGAGACAGATAGAGCACCTTAAAAACCAGTCCTTCATCGACCATGGGCCGGAGCCTGAGATTTTCGTTGCTGTGAGTTCGGAGGCTTCGCACTCATCAGAGCTAGCGATTGGCATGATGGACGAGACGAGACCATGCAAAGTTTTTTTTGACATCGCAACTGTATTCTTCCGATGCCCCGAGACACGTGAACTGCAAAAGTGATGCTGCACATGCCCGTGGCTAGGGCATGTGTTGGCTCAGATTGCCCAGAATCCTGAATTGCATACACCTTCCAAGGAGCTTACAAGTACCTCGAGGAGATGTGGCGCAAGAAGCAATCCGTCGGGGTCCCGATTCCTCGCGCTTCTGATGGTGTCGGTATGTTGACCTGGCGCGACCGGCTGCGTGGCCAAAGGGTAGCACATGGAAGATGTCTATGAAAGCTTGCCAAACACTTCGTACAGAATGCATGCAGTATTGCAGAACCTCATCTCGATTTTGGGCCAGCCGTGACCACCCTGGGTATGCCCGATTCCCAGGATGTCATGCGATTCTTCGCCCGTCTCCGCAACTGGGAGTTTCGTCAGCCTCTTGACTGAAGAGCTGCAACACCCGATGCGGATGCTCCGACGTCCAAGCCAACGGCTACGGCATGACTTTCAGACGTACCCTTAGATTCACTAAAAGCCTCGCATGCTGCCCGACGGGCCGCCTGCCGAGTCGCGAGCCTTCAATTTCACGCTGCCTTGTTGCAAAGCTGCATGCCAGGTTGCCAGCAGTGCACCGCTGCACCCGCCCCACGCGTCCGGACAAAGCCCGGAAGATGGGCTACAAGGCTCGCCGAGGTGTACGTAATGGATCCGCATGGAGCTTCTTTGAGCCCTTGGAGGACAAGAGTCAGTTTTGAACGACAAAGGTTGAACAGCGGGTCTCGTGGGAAGCAGAGGCTTCAGGATGTGGAAAGCGGGCTAATGTGGGTGACAGTTTGCGTGGATTCTCCCGCTCACGCCAGCCAAGCCTTGCAAGAAGCTTGCTCTGCGAATCAACAACCGAAGCCAAAATTCTCAGTGCAGGCCAAGCAGGGCTACTGCATCTACCGCGTCCGCGTCAAACGCGGCGACCGCAAGAAACGCGTAGCCAAGGCACAGAGATGTCAGACATTCAAGCTTTCAGGATGTTTTCTAAGGTTCCAGCACAACCTCAAACCTTTGATGCATGGTGGTGTGTGAAATCTGTCGTCGCATTTTGAGGGCAGGAGATATTGCCACTCCGCAGGCCAACACTAAAGCCCGACCCAAAACCTAGAATCCTACACGTAGAGTTTCAACCCGATGACACGAAGCCATAAGCCCTGAACCTTATCAAGTTTTCATCTGTGGGGTTCATGGCTTCACCCCAAAACCCCGCGCCGAATCAACAAAAGCAATCTAGTCAAAGCCTGATAGGTCGACTGCCCAAGATTGATGAAAGGGCTTAGGGTTTGGGGCCTAGGATTGAGGCTCAGGGCTAAGGACGTGGCACGGCCCAAGCCTTCGGATCGCAAGAACCAAAGCTTGCAAGCTCTTAGCATTCATCTTGACGCAGGGCATCGTCTACGGAAAGCCCGTGCCCGGTCTGTGTTGTGTTTCAGGATCTTCTTTGCACATGAGCCTTGAATCTCGACCTGGGGACACCAGACCTTCTATCCTCTTCGGATCGTCAGATCTTGGAACGGCTGTCGTGAGTTATGCACAATCCAGAGTGTCTTCGTGAAACAAAGCCATCTTGCGTTACGTCTGACTTAAGCGTTGAGCCACTTAAGCCTCCAGCTCCCAGTCTTTGTGGATTGGTTTAACCGAGGTGAACCAGGGCATCAACAAGTGGAAGGCGGTCCGGAACCTCAGGAACATTGCTGAGGCGGCAAGGGTTCAAAAGACAGCTCTGGTAAGCTCCGCACCGCAAGCTTTGCAACTTGAGAACATGAAGCCCCAAGCCTTCAACTCTGAACTAGGCACCGGATGCTTGTCACGCCCTAGTTGGGGAGGGTGGGGGGGGGGGGCGGGTGCAATGCACGCAGGAGCGAGTGGGCCGAAAGTGTGGCAGCCTTCGCGTGCCTCAGTCTGTCGAAAAAGGAACCTTGGAGCTTCCCAAACCCGCCCAAAGAGCGAGGGTCGTTCAGGAGAGCTTGATGATAATTGAGGATTCAGTGGGTGTTTCCAGGTCGTTGAAGGCAGGGGATCAGACAGTCTGCATTTCTGCAGACCGCAGCACGGTGGCAGTTCAACCCATGTGACAAGCCAGGAGAGTCAGACAGATGGCGGAAGTCACCATGCGTCATGTGTCATTCGCCAGCTTCGAGCTGAGGTGCTGAATTCCTATTGGGTGGCACAGGCTGGCATTCGGCTGATTAAGTTCACTCGCCGAGTTCCGACAGTAGACCTCGAGCGCCGCCATCAACCTTAGAAGTTCCATGTTTCGACGCTCAGCCTATGTCATCGAATGTTTTTTGTTCCAGAACAGGCCGTGAGTTAAGCTTCAAGGCATGAGGTGATCACACATTCAAAATATGAACCTCTTGCCTCCATCGGCACGTGTGCCTGTGCCCAGCCCATGTTGAGAGAGGCCCAGGGCAGTGTCATGACCTTCAGTTGCTGCTCTTGGAATTCTGTTGACACAGAGAGGTTTTACATGCTCACCGTGCCTTCACCCCTTGCTGCAGGACGCTGTTCACAAGTGGTTCGAAGTTGTGATGGTGAATCCGTTCCACAAGACCGTTCGAGACGACCCGCGGATCAACTGGACCTGTTTGCATTACGCTTGCTTGTTGAACCTTGATGGTTGAAGCTGGCCCGAGCCGCATCGGAGTACCTGCCAAAACCCTGAGCTCCTCTGTGGGGCTTCGGTCCGACCTATCTCTGACAGCTGTACAGATCTTTTGTGCCCAAGAGTCGAGCCTTCGCAGGATCTGCAAGCCCGTGATGAAGCACCGCGAACTGCGAGGCAGACTTTTTGAGCTTTCCACAGTCACACCATCACCAACACATCAACAGCCCTAATGCAGATGTTGTTTACTACTTGTAGCAGTCGAATTGTCGCTCTGCAGACTATGACGAGTATTTGTCGTTGTCGTCGTCGTGCCTTCTGTGACTTGCAAAAAACCGATCATGTCCCTGAGCTGACGCATGATTGTCGGCATAGCACTCCTCATCCCAGTCAGGCGACTACGACCGCGACTACTCCACTTCCGTTACCACCACGAAAACCACCCTTACCACCACTATTGAATGAAGCTTTGCTGGTGCTGCCAGTTGTACTACTACTTCTGCTGCTACTACTACTACGACG